CTCTCTTCTCTCTTTCTCTCATTATCTCTAATCGCTGTCATTGATGTCAACGTTTTGATTTCATGTTGAACTTGTATAATCTGTTTCAACAACAATCAGTAGCGATGATCCGGAAATTCAAATTTTTATTCACGTGCAACGGGAATAACGATTTGTCTCTCCGGGTCATTGTTACTGATTGTTGCTCAAATAGATTTTTGGAGTTCGACATTAAATAAAAAGTTTAACATCAATGACACCGATGATGCCACGTCAATAGTTTTTCATTATTTATTATGTTTTGAACTCTCTATTAAAACTGCTATAGCACAAACAAGAAAATTTTCTCACGGGCTTGTTTATTTCAATGATGTTCTATAATGGAGAAAGTCGAAGTTCGCATCGGTTACGACGTGCTTAACTATTTATCTATCATACAACACTGCAAGAAAGCTACGGTCCTTTTTCACACACCACCATAATAATAGGATTCTTGTATCAAATTGTTAAAGTGGCGTGGGAGGAAAACCGTAGCTTTCTTGTAGTGTTGTATGATAGTTGCACATTTAAGAACGCCGTAAATGGTGCTAACTTCGACTGTCTCTATATATAGCATATCATTGATATAATTACTATCAACCATTATAGAACATCATTCAATAATTAAACGATAATATCAGTCATACCAATGATGTCACGTCTACAATCATTATTGTGTTTCATTGACTCAAGGTTCCGACTCATTTATATGCCTCTAATATTGCAATATATATAGCGATGACACATATGACATACCGCCATAAAAATTCTTCAAGTGGCCTTCAATATATTTCTCTACTGTAGGCGCATGAGAGAGTCGAAAATATGATGCACAATGGCGGTTGTGCGCGTGACATCATTGGTGTAATTGATGTTATTGATTTTAAAAAAACCAATGCCTTAAACAAGTGTCTAAGTGTCTAACATTTTAGATATCGTGAACTTCAACTTCAAAAAACAAATGGTTAATATTCGAGACGTTTTGTAAAAGAACTACGTGGACTTTGATTCCCAATATAAGGGATACGTAGGCACCTTAATTGACATATATTCTCAAAATTTAGTAAATGTCAGTTAAGCTCAAGTCCATATTCACAAATGAATGGAACTACTGGATAGTGGTATCATACTACTGTGAAGTGCCAACGACTCGAATGTGGGTTTACCATCGCGTTATTTTGCGATCATTTCTTCAAAATTGAGTTAAAATTCATATGTTAATTAAGTATCTATAAGTGTTTTGTTGTTTGTGCCATTATAGACGAAATTTAAAGTTCTAATTGTAATACATAATGAAGAATATTGACATGGTATCATTGTTCGAAATGAAGTTCATGTTCAAACATTAACGACATGTACGACTGTGATGTCACGTCAATAGTATTTATTATGTATTATAATTTGACTGCTAAATTACGGTTGCAATACCACAAACAATAGAACACATATAGATACTCATTTATCATCTGAATCCTAACTCAGTTTCGAAGAAATGATCGCAAAATAATGCGACGGTAAGCCCACTTTTGAGTCATCGGCACTTCACAGTAGTTTGAAAAAATAACAAGGTAAAAAAAATGTGTAATAAAAAAATAAATGTGTAATAAAAAAACAAATAGCTTTAATTTAACGGTCATTTAATTCGAAATCAGAGGATGACCAAGTCCGTGACAGAGTTCTCTAGCTTGTGCTATAGTAGGTGATGTGGTATAACAAAGCGTTAGTAGTAGCCCGTGATGAACCGGTTGTGACCCGGTCGTCATTGCCATGTGAGGAGGACCGGCTAAGCACCTGGACAGTTAGGCAGTGGGGTACTCTATCAAAC